GCGGCTCGCGGATTCCTCTGTAAATGGGCTGCTTCCATTCAAAGGTAGCAAGAGAATTTCGAGGACACGAAGACCCTGTTAAGCTTGCCTCCGAGACTGCCTGTAAGTTAACTTACTTTCACAATAAGAGATTCATTTCGATCTGCAAGATGGTTCCTTTGCATGTTCATTTGTTTCATGGTGTGAAAAAAATCATCAGCTAGATTATATTTCATCCTTCTTCTCTGCTCATTGATCTAGTTTACATTCGAAATTTTCAAAAAAGGGTCCTTTATGCATAGTCTATCTTCCATCTACAAAATGGTTCAAAGTTTAGTTTATTTTACTCATGCTTCTTGTTACCAATACTATCACTTAATTTGATTCCTGTTCACAATCGGATTCGGTTTAAAATGGTGTTTGTCTCCCTGATTTATGTTGATATGAAAAAAGTTTTAAAGTGGATCAATCTCTTTGTTCGTTCCTGGTACTTTGTGTTTGATGATCTCGCTTGTTTTTTCTCATTTTTCCAGTTAGTGTGAGTGAGGTTGAAGCATTGTTTGAGCTGTTCAAGAGCATAAGCAGTTCGGTTGTTGATGATGGTTTGATAAACAAGGTACATAGATTCATACTTATTTTGTTTCTTTGGATCTTTTATGACCCCACTCTAGGAATCTTTTTCCTCTTTACACTATTCGTCTACTATATTGTTTCCCCACTTTTGTTGACCTTTTCACCAAATTTATTAGAGCAATAATGAAACTTCCATGCTGATCTGTTTGTTCTACATTGCACCAATTCAATGTATCGTAGCCCTTAATGTTTGACTTGAATTTATATTTAGTTTATTGATTGCTTTGATTTTGAAATTTGAGGCTTTATTGGCCCACTTTAGTTATGTTGTTTTTTAAATTCTAGCTTCATGTGTATGCAGGAGGAGTTTCAACTTGCATTGTTCAAAAGCCGTAAGAGGGAGAATATATTTGCTAATAGGGTAAAGTCTAAGTTCCTCAAATTTGTTCTTCTTTAAGAGTGATTTGAACCAAGAACTAAACAGTTTATCGAAAAGATATTACATGTCGATTAAACTAAGCAGTTATGCTTCCTTGCAGATATTCGATATGTTTGATGTTAAACGAAAAGGAGTAATCGATTTTGGGGACTTTGTTAGATCACTCAATGTTTTCCACCCAAATGCTTCTTTAGAAGACAAAATAGATTGTAAGTTGACACAAGAGAGTTTCATTTCTACTGTTTCTCAAAGTCCCTTAGTGCGAAGAGTTTTATTGATTCCGGTCTACGGTTTTTCTCAGTTACGTTTAGGCTTTACGACATGGACTGCACGGGTTTCATTGAACGCCAAGAGGTTAAGCAAATGTTGATCGCCCTTCTCTGCGAATCTGAAATGAAATTGGCTGATGAAACCATTGAGATAATACTCGATAAGGTTTGTAGTTGTCTATTTAAGTATAAAGTTTTCGTCTTTCTGGAATTCTATACATTTGAGCTAAAGGATCTAAATGTGGTGTCTTTGTTTCTTTTTCATTCATGAACAGACATTTGAAGACGCAGACGTGAATCAAGATGGAAAGATTGATAAATTCGAGTGGAGCGATTTCGTGAACAAAAATCCATCATTGCTTAAGATCATGACACTCCCATATCTCAGGGATATAACGACTACATTTCCGAGCTTTGTCTTCAATTCGGAGGTCGATGAGATTGCCACATGAAAAAACAAACTGGTTTAAACCGAACAAGAACAACGAGGACCAATTTTCTGCGTTTATCGGTGTAATCGGCATCTGTTTACAAATACAGTAGATCATATTTTTCATGAAAATTTTCATTTCTGGGTTCCTTTTTTTCTTCTCAGATCAGTTTTGATTAGCTTTAAACAAATCAAAAAAAAAAACACAAAGAGCGTAAATGACCAATCTTTTATACTTAGGAAAAATGTTCATATGTTTGTAGTTTGTACATATTACATCGTACATTTGTCCTTTCAAAGTAAGATTATAAGATTTGTCATGTTATTAAGGGTCTAATTGTTTCATTTGAAACTCGTGCCCGTAAATCGTTAAATTGTTTAAGGGTCTAATTGTTCCAATTAAAACTCGGGGTCGCAAATCGTTAATTTAAGATTTTGTTGGGCCCTTCTACCGCAAAAAGTACAAAAGGAAAAATTTACGATTTTGCCACTCTCAGTTCCGTTCCAATGT